CCGGATCCTCGGTCGCCCTTGTTTGTAGCCCTTTCCTGTAGCGCCCCAAAATGACGTCGTTTTGGGGCAACTTTTCAAGAAAAAAAAAAGTAAGAAAGGAAGAAGAACAGAACTCAGAAAGGGGGAAGAACCCATTAATGGCGTCGAAAAATAGGGCAAATTCCTACAAAAATGCACTGAAAAGTGCAGTCCTCCATGAAGGGATCTCTGGGCTTAACCTCAGTTACACACAAAACACTGCAAACAAGAAGGGATAACTAAATAATTACAGAGTAAAAAGTGAGAAACTAAATCTGGGGAGCCCAATGGCCAAGCCAGATGAATCCCGTTTGATAGCTTGTAGATAAGACAAATCTACAAAATGGCAGAAGTAAGATGAATCCCATTGATACCAAGCAAGTTAGGTAATTGGGGGGATCTGATCTTGTTGAGACAAGTGAGTAGCTTGCTTGAGTACCATCCATGGATTGATGTTAGGAGGACGGAGCATAGATCTGCACAAAGGGCAAGTGACCCTACCTTCATCCACCCATCTATCCAAGCAATCTCTGTGAAACACATGACTGCAGTTGCACAGATCTCTCATCTCATGCCGTCTATTAATGCAATCCCAACACACTACACAACTCACCCCCTTCTTCACATCTTCATCCTTACCATCTTCTCGTCTTCTCTCCAAGAAATTGCCGAACTGTATTACAGGTATCTGCTTCTTGATGAATGCTGTTACCAGGAGAACTGGGACTGGGACCGGGACTAGTGATGACCAATCCAACATGAGCACATAATTGTTGTTGTTGGCTATGGCTGTGGTGGTATTGTTAAGCTCCCTTGAATAAAAGTCCTTTTCTTCTGGTTTAGACATTCAAGAAAAAAAAAAAAAAAAAAACAGAGTAGAACTCAGAAAGGGAAGGGGAAAGAAGAAAGAAAGCAACGGTGGGTAAACTCAGAAATGAGAGGAGCACGGATGAAGCGGATGAAGAAGGACATGAGGCCGGTGGCGCCGAGGAGGAGGAGCATGGAGGCGGTGGAGATTCCAGCGGCGGTGATTTGGGGGATAGTGAGGTGAGGGGATTCGGAGATGGCGACGGCGGCGATGGATTTCTTGGGTTGGATAGGTATGGAGGTGCCGAAGAGGAGGCCGATAGAGATGTTATAGAGGGAGGTGAAGATGAGAGTGGTGAGGTCGCTGACAGAGCCCCCGAGTTCGAACCAGATCGTGGTTTTGAGATGGAGGTTGGTGGCGCATGGGAGAGTGGTGAGACGGTGGCGCCACCGTGGAAGGCCGAGGAGAGGGGTGGTTTGGGTCGATGATTGTTGCTCCTCTTCGAACATAACCCCATTTTTCGACGCCATTAATGGGTTCTTCCCCCTTTCTGAGTTCTGTTCTTCTTCCTTTCTTTCTTTCTTTCTTTCTTTCTTTTTTTTTTTCCTTGAAAAGTTGCCCCAAAACGACGTCGTTTTGGGGTGCTACAGGGAACGGCTGCAGACAAGGGCGACCGAGGATCCAGACCCATTGCCACTAGATAACATCAAGACACATTGGGTGTACGTATCCATGGAATATGCGATTTAGTTGATAAATATGCGGGCACGTGATGAGGCAAACAAAATATGTTAATTTAATCAATAAAATAAAATGTCACATTCAAATTATAATCATTTTACTTTTCTCTTACAATTAAGAGCGAATTACACTAACAGTTCTTATAGTTTGAGGCTTATGTCACTTTGGTCCATAACTTTTTAATTGTGACATATTTGATCCTGAATTTTGAATTTTGAATTTTGTTTTAAATAAGACAATTGAAGATACTATTACTCAATTTCAAGGACAAAATTGTCAATTCGATAAAATATAAACTAATTTGACAAAAAAAAATGTCAAAAAAATATTTTTGAATTTTTAAAAATTATTTCTACCAACCAAAGATAAAATTATGTAAAATTTATAAATCTTTTTTATATACATTTATTTATTTATTTTACTAAATTAATTTTTATTATGTGTTTGAATGATGACCATGTAATGGATGGTTGTTAAGTTTTTAATGTATAATTGATATATTTAATTTATGAAATTTTTTTAATTTTGAATTTTTTGATTTAATAGATTGGTTTAATAATGATATCAAAATTATCGTCATATTTGACTTTTGAAAAAATATAAACTAATTTAATAAAAATAAAAATAATCACCTATTACATAATCATCATCCAAATACATAATAAAAATTAATTTGATAAATAAATAAATAAAAGATTTATCAATTTTACATAATTCTATCTTTGAGAATTAGAAATAATTTTTAAAAATCCAAAAATATTTTTTTGATATTTATTTTTATCAAATTAGTTTATATTTTATTAAATTAACGAATTTACCATTGAAATTGAGCAATAGTATCTTCAATTATCCTTATTTGGAACAAGATTCAAAATTTAAAGTAAAATGTGTTACAATTAAAAAGTCATGAATAAAAATAATACGAGTTCTAAATTATAGGGATCGTTAATGTAATTCGTCCTTGAATCAACTAAAAAAAATTAAAATTTTTTATTATCAAAATAAAAATCAAATAAATTAAAAAAAATTATTTAAGATTTATGAGTAAATAAATTTGGTTGATAGAATCTACTATTATAGAGAGAGAGAGAGAAAAAAAAAGAAAAAAAGAGAGAGAGTCACAGAAGAGAGCGGAGCGTGTGAGATTTGTGATCCATACGTACCATACCTGTGCAGACACGCGCCAGCTGTTATCTTTATCTACAACTACAACATCAACCACTTTACTACTTCTATTTTTATACTACTCCCCCGTTCACACACACCACCGACTCGGCCCTTTCACAGCTGTAAGCAAACCAACCAAAAAAACAATTATAATGCTATATGTATTAATTGATATATTAATTAATGATGTGATATAATTTAAGAAATTTTTTATATTTGTAATGTTATTAATGAATCGAGTCAATAATAATAAGATCATAACTAGTATTGATACACTAATTAGGATTAGTTTGGGAAGTGAGTTGGCTTGTTAACTTTTTGGCCTGAGCTAAAAAGTTTGGTTTGGGAAATGATTTTTTGACTTTTTGACTTTTTTGATTTTTTTTGTGAAAGAAGAGTGTAATGATTATGAATTAGATGTGATGTTTTATTTGTTATGACTAAAATAGTTTATTTTATCTTTTATTGCTAAAATAGTCAAAAAAATCCACAACCTATATTCCCAAACGGAACCTTAATATACTAATTAATATATGTAACACCACCGAAGAAACATAATCACCGGCACGTGTTTCTCTATCTATATCCATCTCAGATTTAGGGTTGGTTTGGGGTGTCCTAAAAAAGTGCACTTTTTGTCTTTTTACGAAAAGATGTGCAGAAAAGTAGAGAGGTGATGTGATGAAAAAAAGATAAAAAAATTGATTATTTTTGGGTTGCCAAACTTGGCCTAAATCTTTGTTGAAAACTCATCAATAGAACAGTATTATGCAGGTGCACCTATATTAAGTTGCCTACTTGTCTTAGGCCTTGTTTGGCATATTCTAAAAAAGTTAAAAAGTTAAAAAGTCACTATCCTATTTAATCACATATAGTTCAAAAAAAAAAAAAAATTAAAAATAAAAAAATCAACAAAAAAATTTGTCATTCCAAAGTCAAAAAATCAAAAAAGCCAACAAAAAAGTTTGTCATTCCAAAGCCAAAAACCAAACAAGAAAAAAAATTTCAGACTAAAAAAGTCAAAAATTTAACTAAAAAAGTTATTGCCAAACGAATCCTTAATTACACTTTTTATTTTTAGGACAAATTACACTAACAGTCCCTATAGTTTAGGATTTATGTCACTTTAGTCCTTCACTTTTCAATTGTGACACATTTAATCCTGAATTTTGAATATTGTTCCAAATAAGGACAATTAACATACCATTGCTTAATTTCAAGGGCAAAATAGTCAATTTGATAAAATATAAACTAATTTGATAAAATTAAATGTCAAAAAAATATTTTAAAAATTTTAAAAATTATTTCTGCCCACCAAAAATAAAATTATGTAAAATTGATAAAAATTGCATTATTAATTTTTAAAAATTAATTTTACATGATTATCATCTAAAGACATAATAAAATTTAATTTGGTAAAAAAAAAGAAATAAATGTCTAAAAGATTTATCAATTTTATATAATTTTATCTTTAGTAAGTAGAAATAATTTTTAAAAATTCAAAAATAATTTTTTAACATTTATTTTTGTCAAATTAATTTATATTTTATCAAATTGACAATTTTGCCATTGAAAAATCTAATAATATATTCAATTGTCTTTGTTTTGAACAAGATTCAAAATTCAGGATCAAATGTGTCATAATTGAAAAGTCAGGGACCAAAATGACACAAGGCCCAAACTATAGGGACTGTTAGTGTAATTTGCCCTTATTTTTATAATTTTACATAAATTTCACTTTAATCTTTATAATTTTAATTTAAACAATTTTTGTAAAGCCTAATTTCAATTTAGTTTTTTTTGTCTAAATTTTTATTAATTTTCCTGTTTATATCTTAAAAATTTAAGAAGTGTCTTAAAATTGTTAACTTACCTTTAATTAGATAGAATAATTAACTTTAAAATGTAAAACTTAAATTAATAAAATTAAAATTATAAAAATTTAAATCAAATTTAAATCAAATTATATGAATAATAAAAAGTGTAATTAATTCAAAAAATTGACTCAGAAAATTACGGACTTCCCTCATGGCAAAAAAAAAAACTCTCCCAATCCAAAATCTCACAGCACTTGATTATTATTCGATTTCGAATTCATTATTATCCCAACAATCTCTCCTACCCATTTTGGTAATTTCACGTGTTAAACCGGCTATACCCGGTATAGTCTGAAACCTAGTAGTATTAAAACTTCTGAGAGAGACCAAACCCAGAAAGTGCATAGATACATACACACATAAGCGTATCTATAGAGAGAGAAAATAAGAGAGAGAGAGAGAGAGAGAGAGAGAGAGAGAGAGAGAGGGGGGGTCGGTTACAGTTGGTAGCAAAACTTAAGAAGAATACCTCATTGATGATGATGATAATGATCATCATGATGAGAGTTTCATAAGTCAATCTCAGCCGTCCATTTAATCCCATTACGTAGTCCCACATTATAGCAAGTCACAGTCTCTCTTCGTTCTTATCCTCACCACCTTCCTTGTATAAATTTTCCATGAAAATTCTACAAGATTTTTGTGTTCATATATTCATGGAGTATATGCTTGTAGTCTGTAACACCCACCGATGATAACAACCTCACACTACCAAACAATCCCAAACCCAATCCAATTCAATCCAAACTAAACCTTTTCTTTTCTTTTCTTTTTCATTTTCTTTCGCTTTCCCGAGAAAAATAACCCCAAACCAATTTGTTTTGTTTCTGGGTTTTCTCTGATTATGCTTTCTAGATCTTGTTTCAATCTCTTGAACCTCGAAGATTACTCTCGGGTCGATCGGACTCGGATCCCAAGAGTCATGACTGTTCCGGGGATAATCTCGTGCTTGGATAACAATGGCGGCGAAGAAACAGAGCCCGATAATGATGATGATGATGTTGTTTCGTCTGTAAATCAAGAACGAAGAATCATTGTATCCAATCAGCTTCCATTGAAGGCACATCGTGATTCGGAGACAAAGAAGTGGTGTTTTGATTGGGACAAAGACGCGTTGGCTTTACAGCTCAAAGATGGTTTTCCACAAGACATTGAAGTGATCTATATTGGGTGTTTAAAAGTAGAGATCGAAGTTTCAGACCAAGACGAGGTTTCTCAATTCCTTTTCGAGAAATTCCGATGTGTTCCCACATTTTTACCATCGGAGATTCAGAACAAGTTCTATCATGGGTTTTGCAAACACTATCTTTGGAATCTGTTTCACTACATGTTACCTGTGACTCCAAATCATGGTGTTCGATTCGATCAGAGTCTATGGAGAGCCTATGTCTCTGCCAACAAGGTGTTTGCTGATACAATCATGGAAGTGATCAACCCAGATGAGGATTATGTTTGGATACACGATTATCACCTCATGGTATTACCCACTTTCCTGAGAAAAAGATTTCATAGGATTAAACTTGGGTTTTTCCTTCACAGTCCCTTTCCATCCTCTGAAATTTACCGAACTTTACCTGTTCGCGATGAGATTCTTCGAGCTTTATTGAATTGTGATCTTATTGGATTCCACACATTTGATTATGCTAGACATTTCTTGTCTTGTTGTAGTAGAATGTTGGGTTTGGATTATCATTCTAAAAGGGGGTACGTTGGGTTAGAATACTATGGTAGAACGGTTAGTATCAAGATCCTCCCTGCTGGGATTCATATGGGTCAGCTTGAATCTATCAAGTCCTTTCCCGATACATCGAAGAAAGTTCGCGAATTGAAGGAAAGATTTGAGGGGAAAATTGTGTTGTTGGGTGTGGATGATATGGATATGTTTAAGGGTATTAGTTTGAAGTTCTTAGCAATGGGACATCTCTTAGAAGAACACCCTGAAATGAGGGGGAAAGTGGTTTTGGTTCAAATCGTAAACCCCGCGAGGAGTCGGGGTAAGGACATTCAAGAGGTTCAAAATGAGATCAGTAGTGTTCTAAGTCAGGTTAATGACAAGTATGGTAAACCCGGGTATGATCCGATTGTGTTTATTAATGGCCCGGTTTCAACCCAGGACAAGGTTGCTTACTTTGCTATTTCGGAATGTTGTGTTGTGAATGCTGTGAGGGATGGTATGAATTTGGTGCCTTACAAGTACACAGTGTGTAGGCAAAGCAATCCTGATTTAGACAATGCCTTAGGGCTTGAAGGATTAGAAACGCCGCGAAAGAGCATGATTATTGTATCCGAATTCATAGGGTGCTCACCATCGCTCAGTGGGGCGATCCGGGTCAATCCATGGAACATTGATTCTGTCTCGGAGGGGATGAATTTAGCAATCACAATGCCAGAAGCAGAGAAACAAATGCGCCATGAAAAGCACTACAAGTATATTAGTTCTCATGATATTGCCTATTGGGCTAGGAGTTTCGATCAAGACCTCGAGCGAGCTTGTAGAGAGCATTACAGGAAGAGGTGTTGGGGAATTGGGTTCGGTTTAGGATTCAGGGTTGTTGCTTTGGGTCCTAATTTCAAAAAACTCGCAGTGGAACACATTGTACCGGCTTATAATGGGACTAATAGCCGGTTGATTTTGTTGGATTATGACGGTACAATGATGCCACAGGGTTCTGCTGACAAATCTCCAAGTGATGATGTTATTAAGGTTTTGAATGGATTATGCGCTGATCCGAACAACATTGTTTTCATCGTGAGCGGAAGAGGAAAAGATTCTCTAAGCAAGTGGTTTTCTCCATGCGAAAAACTCGGTCTTTCAGCAGAACATGGATTCTTTACTAGGTAAGTTGTAATTGAGGATTTGATGTCGTCGTTTTTTGTTTCATTTTCGAATATTTCTTTTGATTTGGTTGTTTTTTGTTTTTGTTTTCGCTTTCATCTAGGTGGAATAAGGACTCTCCGTGGGAGTCATGTATGTTGGCGATGAATTTCGATTGGAAGACAATTGCTTTGCCGGTTATGGAGCATTATACGGAGGCAACTGACGGGTCATTTATAGAGCAGAAGGAAAGCGCGCTCGTGTGGCACCATCAAGAAGCTGACCCTGACTTTGGATCGTGGCAGGCGAAAGAGCTTCTTGATCATCTTGAGAGTGTTCTTGCTAATGAACCTGTGGTTGTTAAAAGAGGGCAACACATTGTTGAAGTCAAACCACAGGTAAGAAGCAATTTAATCAGTTTGTTCATTTCCAATTTGTTGCATAGTTGTTTTATGAACTAAAAAGCATGTCTTAATTACTAGGAACATTTTAAGATACAATAAAACATGAACTCTAGTGGTTGCAGGGTATATTCTCTGAGAATCTGATTTTTCTACTGAATGATTAAGTGTTTATTAAGATTTCCAAATGTTCATGTGATAAAAAATATATATAATTGTTCTGTTGAATGGATAATGATTTCCAAATGTTGAGGGGATCAAAAGTATAGCAAAGGGAAAAAAATAAAACAAAAAAACTGTCAATATATTGGAATCGTTTGAATGTTCATGGTCATTGACTTATTGATATATTTTCTTGAATAAAAGTTGGGGTGTGAAAAGAAATTAAGCAATTTGTTGATTCACAATTTGTTGTATGGTATTGTATTGACAAAGACATGTATGAACACATATTAGGAGACATAAAACATGATCTTCCATTCGGGAGCATGAGAATCTGTTTTTTTTTTTATTGAATGAAGTTTTTTTTTGTTTTTTTGTTCTTACATGTTTATGCTTTAAAAAAAAATAATATGATTGTTCTGTTGAATGAATAATTAGTACTTCAATGTTTTCCAAATGTTTGTATAATTATTGATTGTTTGTAAAATCACATGCTTAATAATAATAATAACTGATGTTTGAATTGCAGGGTGTGAGCAAAGGAGTAGCAGTGGAAAGTCTGATTGCAACAATGCAGATGAGGAGGAAGCCGCCGGATTTCGTTTTGTGTGTAGGCGATGACCGATCAGACGAAGATATGTTTGAGACGATTGCAAGATCGGTCACCAACCCGTCAATGCCCGCCATAGCAGAAGTTTTCGCCTGTTCTGTCGGTCAGAAACCAAGCATGGCAAAATACTATCTTGATGACACTTCTGAAGTAATCAAAATGCTTCAAGGCCTTGCTGGAATGTCTGGGCAGCCTAATAAGTCTCCAATTTCGCAGGTATCCTTTGACGGGTCTCTCTAAAATTGCCAATCAACGGTGCTAGTTTCATAGAAATAGAACACAAAGTGCACAGAATAAAATTTAACCACAAAATACACATTCTGTGTACTTTTCTGTGTTTTATTTTTGTGCACTTGGTACCTTTGAATTCCGATATGTGGTTAGGTACAGACAGGTAGGCATGGTCTCTCTCAAGCACACATCGATCATCGAGTTCGCTGTTAAGAAAATGGGCAGGATTGTGTCTAGAGCTAGAGAGAAAGACGAGCATTGTACAGAAAAAAAAAAAAGAAAGAAAGAAAAATAGTTACATTTTACAGGTTCATTTCAAATCAATATCTGGAAATTACAGGATTAGTTGACCAAAGTTTTTTTTAATGTTTTTTTGTATTTGTTTTCGCAGTTCTCATCTAATGGGCAAACAAAACTTCTTTTTCTATGAGTTCAGGGTTTTTGATTTATTGTGTTTTTGTATTTTTTGTCCATAGAATTCAATGACATGCTTTCCAACTAGATAGAGTAAACAGTTTTAGGTTTTGGGAAACGTAACGAACACATTTATTGTGTTCTTGCTATCAATTTTAGTAGTTTGTTTCTAGGGCCTTAAAATAATGGCTATTCAGTTTGTCGAAAATTCGATTAAGCAAATATATTCAGAAATTTGTTAATATTTTAGGCTTGATTCAATTAGTTTGTGTCATAAAATTATTCAAAAAATTAAACTATTCAAACTTGAGGTGACTAAAACTTGTTTGAGATTGGTTTAAAAATAAACGAAAAGTTTAAATACATTTGTGTACTCCTTATATTTTGAAACTAATACTAAACAATAATCCTAAGCATTTCAGACAATAACTAGTACATGTTGAAGTGATTAGTTACTTATTGATCTTTTTTTATTTATTTATTAAGAGATAGGAGATTATTTACAAATTATAAATACGGACAGAATTATATCAAAATTGATACTCAATTATGCAAGAAAATTTAACAATAAATACTCACAAACTCAACGCTAAGATGTCATTTCATAAACCAATTCGGTATTTGTTTCTTATAAAAAAACTTAATTTTATATTTTTTATGGAGATCTCGGGACTCGATTATGAACTGATGAGCTAATTGATAGATCTGATACTTTTTCACGCTTAACCGCATAAATGAAAATTACAAAGGCTAAGATGCCCAAACCCAAATCTTGATGCAAAATTGTTAGGGCTGAGTAAGAAATCCGTGAAATTTGTAATCTGATCCAGTCCCCAGTAGGTTTGGATTGGTTTTTTGAATTCGTAGTTCGCTTTCGGATTGAAAAATTAAAAATTCGTAGTTCACGGATTGGTTCCGAATTGAACTTCACGGTTTCGGAGTATCTTCTCTTATTTTATATAAAACTTAAATCCAAACCTAAACTCACATAGTATATTCTTTTATTTTTTTTTGTTTGCTAGTTTTTAATGTTAATTTGTAATGGTTTAAATACTTATGGTGGAACTAGTTTTTTTATGATTGTTTAAATTCTAGAACAGTATGTCGCTATTATGAAAAGACATGTTATTATGAAACTAATATGGTGTTATAATTATATTTTTATGAAATTAAAGTGCTATATATATTTTTTTGTTATTTGATTATGTAAATCCGTAGTCTTAAATCGATCCAATCCGTTTAAATGGATTAGTTCGGATTGGTTTCACGATTTAAACGGATTGGATTGGTTTCAATTTTTCAAAAATTGTAAATAACAGATTGATTTTAGTTTTATCCCAATTCGATCCAATCCGGACCATGCTCACCCCTAAAAATTGTTGCACAAAAAGATTGCCAAGATGTGTAAACAAGTCGGACTTTTGCTTCAAGCCAAGCCACTTCATGCAGAGATTTTGGTCTCTACCAAACTACGGGTCTGGCCTACAGAGAAGGCCCAATAGGCAAGCAGAAATTTTAGGCCGACATGGACTTTACATTTTTTTTATTTTTTTTTGAGTTAAACGGATAGGGTTTCACTTCCCTCAACCCAAGACAGCGTTTGGGTTGGGTAGATTTATTTTAATATCAATTTTAATGATTCAAATTGTTCAATTTTTTTGACTCATTAAATAGAATATTCATACAAAAAATTAAGATGATTAGACATTAGTAACTATATGTTTTATTCATATTTATTTTTAAAAAAATAGACAACAAATATAATCTCAAGAATAATTATCTATTTTTTTGTAATAAAAATTTTATTCAAATGTATCGATGTCTGACTATCTACTTTTTTGTATGAATATTCTAATAAACGAGTCTTAAAAAATGAATAGTTTGGATCATTAAAACGAGACATTTGGTGAGCTTCACGATTCTCTCCCGTTATCTTATATTGAGATACAACATAAATATTAAAATAAAATAAAATAAAAAGGAATGCCAACACAGATTAAAGTTCATTTAAAGTATCAGCAAACTAAAGAGACCAAAATCTCTATTAAAGTCTTCATTCACCAAAATATCTACACACTCGTTTTCTTCCCGGTAGGTTTGCTTAGTTCGCCAGGTAGCCCAGAGGTACCTTCAATCATCAATGACATTAGTATAGTGGTGTAGGTCAGTACCATGATTTGATGAGAAGTGAAGTACTGCTTGAGCGTTGCTTTCGACTAGGAGGGGAAGATAATTTGTATAAGCAATTCCGCTACAGACTCCAGTGAAACTAGGCCCCTAGGACCCCCAAGAAGTTGGCAACTGATGTGGATGATGGGTTGTATACAAGCATGCAGCTGTAAGGAAAAAAAAAACAAAAAAATAAAAAAACAAAAAAAATAAAAGATGGATATAGCGGGAACCCAAACTTGTCACCACCATAGCTCTTCGCCATCTTCCCTCGTCTGTCCTCACCTATTGCCGCCATAGCTCTCCGCCATCCTCCTCCTCCACCGTAACTCTCTGCCGTCGACGACAGCCATAGCTCTCTGGGAACTCTGACTGTCCTTTGGCTGTCGCTCTCTATCTTCGGATGTATCTTTGTCGCTCTCATCAATCTTCGGCTGCGTGTCTGTGTCTCGCTTTCCGTCTCCGTCTCTGTCTCTGTCTCACACGTACATACTCTAGATCGGTAGTTTATGAGGTAAACCTTTTCCCCCAGCTCTCCAAGTAAGAAATTAGTAATAGTAGTTAAATAATACATAACTTCCTATAGCAGTTTATGAGGTAAAAAATCAATTTCATTAACTTCCTATAATATTTCCCTAAAAAATTAGCTCCATATATGACTAATCTGAAATTTGTCATTTTGGACATTCCCCAAGTGACTCATTTTGGACATTCCCTAAAAATCAATTTGAACAAATATTATGTGATAAAGGGTTGGGGATAGTCACATAATCTGAAATTTGAATATGGTCACTTGGGGTTGGGGATAGTCACATAATCTTAATTTGCTGATATTTGTTCAAATCAGTATTTGTCCTCAATTTGGGCATTGTGTTAGGGAACTGATTCATTGTGTTTGTTTGGGCATTGTGTTATATAATCATTTTGAAATCATTTAATTGTTATTTCATTATGAAAAGTGGAAGAATAGAGATTGATTCAAATGTTGGTGACACTCGTTCAATAAATGATGGTGAAGAAGTTGAAGAACCTAAGAAGGATATGTGTTTTAGCTCAAGGTAAAAGGTGTACACATTTTATGGCAATATGCTAAGCATGTTGGATTTTCTATAGCTCATAGAGCACAACATTTTGGAGATGATGGGCAATTAAAAAACTTTGCAATTGAATGTTCTTGAGCGGGGCAGAGAAAAAAGAAATTAGAAGTCAACCCTCTAGAGCCATCTTTGTCTACACAAATTGGTTGCAAAGCAAGGGTACGAGGTAGTGTACAAAAGGATGGGAGATATAAACTAACCACAGTTAACCTTGAGTATAATCATGATTTGATTCCCACCGACTCACGTCATTTTGTAATAAATAAGAAAATTCTTACTATTGTGAAAAGAAGATTAAAAATTAATGATTAAGCAGGGATTGTGGTGTCTAGGAACTTTCATTCAATGGTTGTTAAAGCAGGGGGATACGAGTCTTTGACATTTGATAAGCGAGATGTAAGGAATTACATTGAGAGAGCTAGAAGATTGAGGCTTGGGGAAGCTGATGCCGAATCACTTCAAAGTTATTTTATGAGGATGCAAGCACATAGTGAGAGATTCTTTTATATGATTGATGTTAATGAGGAGTTTCACATTAGAAACTTGTTTTGGGTTGATGCAAGGAGTCGGGCGACTTATGAAGCATTTGGAGATGTCGTTTCATTTGACACAACTTATCTGACGAACAAATATGACATACCATTTGTTTCATTTGTAGAAGTTAATCACTAAGGATAGTCCATTTTGCTTGGTTGTGGATTGTTATCTAGTGAAGACATTGGCACATTTGTTTGGTTATTCAAGTTGTGGTTAAGTTGCATATCAAATCAGCCTCCAAAAGCTATCATAACTGATCAGTGCAGAGCTATGCAAAATGCTATAGAAATTGTCTTTCCACAAGCTCGACATCGATGGTGCTTATGGCATATCATGAAGAAAATTTCGAAAAAGTTGAAAGGATATGCTCAGTATGAAGCCATAAATTTGGCTATGCAAAATACAATTTATGACTGTTTAACAAGAGTTCAATTTGAGAATAAATGGGAAGAGATGCTTGCAACATTTAATCTTTATGATAATGAGTGGTTGGGGGAACGCTATGATGAGCGACATCAATGGGTACCTGTCTTTGTTAAAGACATTTTTTAGGCTGGCATGTCAACTACACAATGAAGTGAAAGTATGAATGCATTTTTTGATGGATATGTAAACCCAAAGACTACACTGAAGCAATTTGTTGAATAATATGACAATGCCTTAAGAACTAAGGTAAAGAAAGAGAAGAAAGCATACTTCAAGTCTCGACACAAATTGTTTGACTACCTAACTATATACGGTTTTGAGAAGCAATTTCAGCAAACCTACACCAATGCAAAATTCAAAGAAGTTCAAGGAGAGTTGGAGAGATTAGTTTACTGTCAGCCATTGTTTTTGAAAGAGGGGAGGGGGGATCAATTTCTACATAGAATGTCCAAGAAGCAATGGTAGCTTGTGAGAAGATGAAGCATGTGGACTTTGTTGTCTATTTTAATTCAACTGAATGTGAAGTTCAATGTATGTGTCAGTTGTTTGAGTTTAGAGACATTATGTGTGTTCACTCACTCGCTGTGCTTGTGAGAAGATGCATAAATGAGGTGCCAAGTAAATACATTCTGCTACTTTGAAGAAAAGATTTGGATAGAGAGTACGCATGTATCAAAACCACATATACTGGCTTTGGGAATGACTTCAATTCAAGTTGCTATGAGAGGATGAACAAAAAACAGATTGCCATTGTACAACTTACTGATAACTCTGAAGGCAAAACTAGTATTATAGACCTTGGGTTGGATGAAATCAAGGAGAGAGTCTGGAAAGAAGAATTGGGTGATGGGACTAATTTACCATATTCCAAAAAAAGTCCGATTTGCACCGGTTCTACACAAAGAGCTACTAATATGAAGGTCATTAGTCATTTGGTTACTCGGCAAAGAGGCCGTCTAATTACCAAACGAAAGGTTGCCAAAATAGATCAAATAGTGAATCGGTTCAAGGTAACGGCAAAAAGAAAAACAAAAGCAAAAGTAAAATGTGTATATTTTTATTTTTTTACAAACTGTATTCAAGTATGTAAAAGTAATTCATAAATTTCAATCATTAATCATTCTTCAACAAATACAGGCTGCTAAGGTGCTTTGATTTGAAGCTCAAGCTGAAACATCTCAAGCTATAGCGACTGCATATACATCGTATTATCCTCATATGGTTGGCATAGAAAATAGTATGTATGTACCGGTATGTGTACAAAAGAGGACTTGACATCAATTGCTTATTTTCATTTGCAAATTTTGTTTTTGTAAGACGTAGTTTTTATTGAATTATCATAGGTAGTCAATGGTATTGGAGGCACATCTTTGACTCCATCGGACTTTACAAGAGGCATATCGGAAAGTTTGATGAGTGCTCCAACTCAGATTTTTGGTTCTGGATCTCTAGCCTCATCGGCTTCTAATGCATGCACACCGGGAAGCTTGTATATTAGGGACCTGTTTGACTTGTTTATTGTAATTGAACAGTTTGTTTTTGAGATTGCAACTTATTATGTTTCCAATTTGGATCTGTAAAACAGGATGCCTATTAATTAGCAATGAAGTTATGTTATTATTATTATTTGTTATGTCATGAACTTAGCAATATTTACTGTTGTTCTATAGTGATTGTGAACAAATATTTATTTGCTGAGGGATTGGTTCCAGATTCACTGTATTCAGCAAAGTGTATTCAACAATGTCTATTTAACAAGTTGCTTGTATTTAACAGTGAGTAATTAAATAGTTTCCTTGTATTCAACAATGTGTATTTAACAGTTTCCCTGTATTCAGTAATGTCTATTCAACAGTTTCCCTGTATTCAACAAAGTGTATTCAACAGTTTCCCTATATTCATCAATGTCTATTCAACAGTTTCCCTATATTTAACAAAGTGTATTCAATATTTTCCCTGTATGCATAAATGTCCATTCAACAGTTTCCCAGTATTCAATAATGTCTATTCAACAGTTTCCATGTATTCATCAATGTCTATTCAGCAGTTTCCCTGTATTCGACAAAGTGTATTCAACATTTTCCCTATATTCATCAATGTCTATTCAACAGTTTCCCTGTATTCAACAAAGTGTGTTCAACATTTTCCCTGTATTCATCAATGTATATTCAACAGTTTCCCTGTATTCAACAATGTGTATTCAATAGTTTCCCTGCATTCACAGTACCATACAAGTTCCATTCCATACAAAGAAAGTGAATACACAACATAACATCACAGTTCCATTCCACTAAAGTTCAAAGAAAGTGAATACGCTACAAAACAACATAGTTCCATTCACACATCAAAGTGAATTCACAGTTCCATTCCACTCAAGTTCAAAGAAAGTGAATACACAACAAAAGATAACTTGCTCTAAAAGTGTACATTTACTTTTACTTCTAACTTACATATATATATATATATATATATATGTATATACATATTATTACATCTTCATAAGTGATAAGGCACCAATTACAAGCAACACGAACAACACATTTTTTTTTTTGCATCTTTGCGCTCTAAATTCGAAGTTCTTCCGTCATAGCTCTTTGTTGTTCGGTCATAGATAGAAGTTGTTCGGTCATACATCGAAGTTCTTCGCCGACAATTAGCACTTCTTCTCTTGGAATTACGTGACCTTTACATTTGAATTCATAGGCAAGCACCATTCAACAAAACAACCATAATCATTGCAAGAGTAGAATAACTTGTTTTTGTTTCGATCGGTCTTAGAAATTCAAATAGTGGCTTTTTTATTACATCTACAACAATTTTTGTTGACGTATGTCAATCGATCTAAGCTACTGCCATTGAAACTTGAACTTGACATCTACAAAAAGGGAGAAACAACAAGTTATAAAGGTTAATAAAATAAAATAAAATAAACTAAAATGTTCAGATAAAAGAGTGGTAATTGAATTATAGGTGCAACAGTTGTGGAATAGTTGTGGTAATGTCTAACTTTGCTAAACATTCCCTAAATAGTATTGGAAAAGCTTAAAGAGAGTGGAAATTCTAACTAATGAACCTTCCTGCTCTTGTTGGTACAGAAGGATAGAAATAATGAACTGGGAAATATGTTAATATTTTCCTTCTTCAGTCAGACCTAAATACCAAAGCCAAAGAATAAAAAAACAAAGAAAATGCCCTATAACACTTTATTTGTTGGTCAACTATCAAGTTATCAACTCCCAAAGTTTGAAAGATATAAAGGTCAACTACCAGACAATTCAGAGCATTTTACACCCTAAAGTTTCTTATAGACTACAACTCCATATGAAAATGACAGAATTTTGAATGAGGAAGACAAACAAAATGTGTATGTCTACATGGGTGTAGCAAATTGACCAACTTGCACATCAATGAAGAAGACAGGTTAACAATCTAATGACAACACTATATCCAGCAGTTTAGACAAATACAGAATAAAAACAAAAACACAATTTTTTAATGAACCATGAGAAATATGCACAGGCCAATTTTGGCTAATTTGAAATTGCTTTGAACTTTGTTTAACATCAACAGTTAGAAAACATTTCATCTAGTGGAATTGCAGCTGAGAGAAAGAAACACTAACGGGGCCTTCAAAACCACTCCTGCTCTAAAATTTCCATTTCCTCTAATGCTGATTACAATTCTCCAGAATAGTACAACAAAAACAATAAAAAAGTTTCAATAAATACACATTACTTGTAGCAAGCTGCAAATGAAAAAAAAAACAACTTGCCCCATGTAATTAATTGGCTTCATAATTTGAGAGCAACTATTTGCCCTATGTAAGAAAAACGAACTACAGAATTCATTTAACATATTCAGTGAGAAAGATAAAGCAACCCAGGAAGCCAAGACATGTTCATACTTACAACTGAAATGCAGATTGATGTCATTAATGTGCTTAAATAAAGCAACCCAGAATTTCATAATTTCATTAAGGAATTTCATCGAGCAGATTCATGGCAAGGTAAAATGTGAAAACCCCACATTTAATTATTCTTAAAAGAAAATAAATAAATAAATAAACTAATTTTATCTACAGTCTATCTGAATTGTATATTAGTGTAGTTTTAAATTGACCAAATTCAATCACTAACAAAAACATTATTAAGAATAATAATTTTGTGCGTGTTCAATATTTGTTGTTTATAAATTATTTTAATTAGGATTCAATATGATAATTATTCTTACTAAATACCTTAGTTAAAAATCTTAGTGTATCAATTTTCAGAAACCCACACAAATACAAAAAAAAAAAGAAAGAGAGGGAATCAAACCTTTGCAGAAATTCGGTGGAGGCTTTCCACACGTTGGTTTGCATGCCTGTTTAGGGAAGAAGAGCTAATTATGCTCTTGGAATTGAGGGAAAGAAAACTTAGAATGAAGAGAAAGAAAGAGAGAGAGAGAGAGAGAGAGAGAGATATGTGCTCAACAAGCATTGTATATATATATGCATGCAAGCCTTCATTGTATATAGGTGTGCATGCAAGCATTCGGTGGAAAAAAAAAAAGAAGAGAGAAATCCCTGAAGCAACCAAGCTTAGTAATAGGAGAGGAAGAAGAGTAGGAGATTACGGAAGCCAAAATTCTCAACCATTTTGTCACCCTATTACTAAGTAAGAAAACCCTCTCAATCCTCTCATTTTGTTTGATATTTGAAATTTTCAGATTATATACATATGATAAATTGTCTAAACTTGTAGATAGGATTTTATTTATAATTGTATAAAAATTTCATGATGGTATATTAAATATTGGTAGTCTGAAAATCATGATAATATTGTGGAATTTGGACTTGTATGTGTAGTTTATGCCATTATAAAGATTATTGAAGATGTTATTTACCCCTTTAAATCTGCCAGAAAGTTGTACGAATTTTTAGACAATTTTATACTCACATTTTGAAGATGATTTCTTCTAAGAATTTGTTGATAATGATGTCTAGTTCATCCACAAAATTTTTCAACAATTATTGAGTCTTTTACGATTTTATAAATATTTTAAACCAAATATGGAGCTATAGGCAGATTTGATTATGTGTTTGAAAAATCATTAAAATTTTTATATTAAACCAAATCTGATAATTTCTAAGCAAAAAATGAAATTTGAGAATTCTAGTTTCATAATAAATTTTTAGATCATGGAATTGATTTATAAATTTAGGTATGGAATTAATTTAAGAAAATGTGATAAATCTCTGTCATAAACACTCTTGGAATTTTTAAGAATTATTTATAATTTATTTTTGGAAAATGATTTCTGAAAAATGACAATAACATGTTTATTGAGTATTCTGTAGAATTATATGAATTTTAGAGTTGTATAAGTAATTTATTTATAATTGTATTTGCAAGAGTGATCCTCGATTCACTTCTCAGTTTTGGTAGAGCTTGCAGAAGGCAATGGGAACAAAGTTATGCTTGAGCACAACATTTCACCTACAAACCGATGGGCAGTCTGAAAGGACGATACAAACCTTGGAGGATATGCTTCGAGCTTGCGTTATGGATTTTAAGGGAAGTTGAACAAGGCCTATGCTGATGTGCGTAGATGAGAGAGAAGAATATGTGTAACATGTGGCTACGGCCGCGGATCAAGAGCTGACCCCACTGGACCTTTGGATTTCGTGGCGCGAGAGGCCTTTCTGTGATCATCTAGAGTGTTTCTTGCCCTATTGAAACCTAGTGGTTTGTTAAAGAGGGCAAACACATTTGTTGAAAAAGTCAAAAACCACAGGTAAGAAGCAAAATTTAATCAGTTTGTTCATTTCCATTTGTTGCTAGTTGTTCTTAAATGAAACTAAAAGCATGTCTAATTACTAGGAACAAATTTTAAGATACATAAAACAATGAACTCTGAGTGGTTGCAGGGTATATTCCCTCTGAGAAATCTGATTTTTTCCTAACTGAATGATTAAGTGTTTATTAAGATTTCCAAATGTTCTTGATAAATATATATAAAGATTGTGCTGTTGAATGGATTTATGAATTTCCAAAAATGTTTGAGCGGGATCAAAAGTATAACAAAGGGAAAAAATAAAAACAAAAAACTGTCAATAATATTGGAATCGTTTGAAATGGTTCATGGTCATTGAAATTATTTGATATATTTTCTTGAATAGAAGTTGGGGGTGTGAAAAGAAATTAGCAATTTGTTTGATTCACAATTTGTTGTAGGTATTGTATTGAAAAGACATGTTATGGACACATATTAGGAGACATAAAACATGATCTTTCCATTCGGGAGCATGAGAATCTGTTTTTTTTTTTATTGAATGAAGTTTTTTTTTGTTTTTTTTTGTTCTTACATGTTTTATGCTTTAAAAAAAAAATAATAATGATTGTTCTGTTGAATGGAATCATTAGTACTTCAATGTTTTCCAAATTGTTTGTATAATTATGATCTGTTTGTTAAAATCACATGGCTTAATAAAATATAACTGATGTTTGAATTCGGCAAGGGTGGTGAGCAAAGGAGTAGCAGTGGAGTCTGATTGCAAAATGCCAGATCGAGGAGGAAGCCGCCGGAATTCCGTTTGTGTGTAGGCGATGACCGATCAGAAAACCGAAGAATATGTTTGAGACGATTGCAAGATCGGTCACCAACCCTTCAATGCCGCCATAGCAGAAGTTTTCGCCTGTTCTGTGTCGGTCAGAAACAAGCATGGCCAAAAAAAAAATTAAACTTTATCTGATGACACCTTCTGAGTAATCAATGCTTCAGGCTTGCCTGGAATGTCTGGGCAGCCTAATAAGTCTCTCCAATTTCGCAGGTATCTCTTTGGACGGGTCCTCTCTAAAATTGCCAAATACAACGGTTGCTAAGTTTCATGAAAAAATAGAACAGCAAAGTGCACAGAATAAAATTTAAACACAAACAAAATACACATTCTTGGTGGTACTTTTCTGTGTTTTATTTTGTGCACTTGGTAGCCTTTGAATCCGATATGTGGTTAGGTACAGACAGGTAGGCATGGTCCCTCTCAGCACACATCGATCATCGAGTTCGCTGTTAAGTAAAATGGGCAGGATGTTGTCTAGAGCTAGAGAGAAGACGAGCATTGTACAGAAAAAAAAAAAGAAAGAAAGAAAATAGTTTACATTTTACAGGTTCATTTCAAAATCAATATCTGGAAATTAAGGATTAGTTGAACCTATGTTTTTTTTTAATGTTTTTTTTGTAATTGTTTTTCACAGTTCTCATCTAATGGGCAAACAAACATTCTTTTCTAATGAGTTTCAAGGGTTTTGATATTTTGTGTTTTTTGTAAATTTTTTGTCCATAAGATTCATGACATGCTTTCCATAGATAGAGTAAACAGTTTTAGGGTTTTGGAACTAACGAACACATTTATTTGTGTTCTTTGCTTAATCATTTTAAGTATTTGTTTCTACAGGGCCGTTAAAAAAGGCTATTCAGTTTGTCGAAATTCGATTAAGCAAATATATTCAGAAATTTGTTAATATTTTAGGCTTGATTCAATTATAGTTTGTGTCATAAAATTATTCAAAAAATTAAACTATTCAAAACTTGAGGTGACTAAACTTGTTTGAGATTGTTAAAAATAACGAATAAGTTTAAATACATTTGGTGTACTCCTTATATTTTGAAAACTAATACTAAACAATAATCCTAAGCTTCAACCAAATACTAGTACAATGTTGAAGTGATTAGTTAATCTTATGATCTTTTTTTATTTATTTATTAAGAGATGGAGATTTATTTACAATTATAAATACGGACAGAATTATATCAAATTGATACTTCAATTATGCAATGAAATTTAACAATAAATACTCACAACTCAACCTAAGATGTCATTTCATAACAATTCGGTTTTGTTTCTTATAAAAAAACTAATTTTAATATTTTTTTATGGAGATCTTCTGGACTCGATATGAACTGAATGAGCTAATTGATAGATTCTGATACTTTTTCCACCGCTTAACCGCATAAATGAAATTACAAAGGCTAGGATGCCAAACCAAATCTTATGCAAAATGTTAGGGGCTTGAGTAGAAATTCGTGAAATTTGTAATTCGATCAGTCCAGCCTAATTCGTAGGTTTGGATTGGTTTTTTTGAAATTCGTAGGTATATCGTTTTCGCGATGAAAAAATTAAAAATCCGTAGTTCACAGGATTGGTTTCGAATTGTAACTTCACGGTTCGGATTAGAACCGATTCGGACCGTATACAAATAGTCCTAGTATTTTTATTATATACCTTCTGCATAGTATCTTTTCTCTATTTTATATAAAACTTAAAATCCAACCTAAACTCACATAGTATTATTCTTTTATTTTTTTTGTTTGCTAGTTTTTTTAAAATGTTAATTTGTAATGGTCTAAATACTTATGGTGGAACCAGTTTTTTTATGATTGTTTAAATTCTAGACAGTATGTCGCTATTTATGAAAAGACAATGTTATTCTGAAACTAATATTGGTGTTTATATTTATTTTTATGAAATTAAGGTACTATATATATTTTTTGTTAATTTGAATTTATGTAAATCCGAGTCTTAAACCGATCATCCGTTTAAATGTAATTAGTTCGGGATTGGTTCCAGCATTTAAACGGATTGGATTGGTTTCAATTTTTCAAAAATTGTAAATAAGATTAGTTTAGTTTTTATCCCAATTCGATCCCAATCCGGACGCATGGCTCACCCTAATAATTGTTGCAACAAAAATTGCAAGATGTGTAAACAAGTCGGATTTTGGCTTCAAGCCAAGCCCTTCATGGCCAGAGATTTTGGTCTCTACCAAACTACGGGTTGGGCCTACAGAGAAGGCCAATACGGCAGCAGAGCCGACATGGACTTTACATTTTTTTTATTATTTTTTGAGGTGTAAACGAATGGGTTTCACTTCCCCACAAGACAGCGTTTGGGTTGGGTAGATTTATTTTTAATATCAATTTTAATGATTCAAATTGTCATTTTTTGGATCATTAAGTAAGTATTATAAAAAATTAAGATGATTAGACATTAGTACTATATGTTTTAATCATATTTTTTTTAAAAAAATAGACATCAAATATAATCTCAGAATTAATTACTATTTTTTTGCTAATAAAAATTAATTCAAATCTATCGATTCTGACTATCTCTAATTTTTTTGCATGAAATATTCTAATAAAACCGAGTCTTAAAAAATGAATTAATTTGGTTCAATTAAGAAACGAGACATTTGGTGAGCTTCACGATTCCTCTCCAGTTATCTTATATGAGATACAACATAAATAATTAAAATAAAATAAAATAAAAAGGAATGCAAACACAGATTTAAAGTTCATTTAAGTTCAGCAAACTAAAGGACCAAAATTCTTCTATTAAGTCTTCATTCCCAAAATATCTACACACTCGTTTCTTCCCAGTAGGTTTGCTTAGTTCGCCAGGCTAGCCCAGAGGTAC